TGAGGGAATGGGGGTGAGGAGAGTACCATAAAAAATTATTTTCCTAAAAAATATTTTCTACTCTCTAACCAAACACTAGAAAATATTTTCCGGAAAAAGATTTTTACTCACCAACCAAATAAGGGAAAACAAGTGATAAAACCACTCATTTTCCATTAAAACATTTTCCTTCATACCAAACACACCCTTAGTGTAACATTCACTACTGATTTACTGTCAAGGGTTGTGGTGAGATGGATATAAACCATCCACCCTTAACTAGAAGTCTCGGGTTCGTGAAAATGAGAAAAATCCATGTAAAGAGCGTTCCTTTCTTTAATGGCCTTATACAGCGTGAATCCTGATTAGCCAAAGCGGGTACCAAAAAAATATATTGATCGCAAGCTCGCAGCTGCCTACTTGTTCCTTATTTGAATGTATTAAGCATATAGCTAGTCAAAAATTGATCAAACACATTCACCGGTTGAACATAGGATAATAACTTAATCATTAAGTTTGGAATAAGTGACGATTGCAAAATACTAAATATACCATCTTATCGTTAAAATGGCTTGGAACCAACAGCAATTTTGCACATCATTGGCACAAAAGCAATGTACAGTGAAAGAAAGGAGGAAGTAAATATAAAATAAGAACACTATGCTTTGCCTAAACTGGCTTTTGAAATTTCTAATTTCTAAGTCACGGCAAATGTACAATGAAAGTTAAGTCAGCAAATTGCCTCTAAGGTCATCGGGTGTTCAGCACTGTACATGTACATTCTCAGGTAAACCACCTCTGACAACTTCTAAATCAGCCTCCTGCAGAAGAAAACAGCAAAAATTTGAGCAACAAACACAACTTATGATTTTTTTCAACCACATTAATATAACGACAGAAGTACATTTAGAACTTTCGTCTTAAACATACCATGAACAGAGGCGGACCTATGTGTTATGTTGAGGGGTCACTGGACCCCGTAAACTTCGGTAGAAATCTTGTATTTGTATATGTATATATCTAGAAAATGATTACTTAATTTAAATTACTTGGCACCCTAAACAATAAAAGCCTTAAGGGGGCACCGGTTGAGCAGAATATTGTGCCTTATCACATTAAAATCCTGGGTCCGCCTCTGACCATGACATTTCTAAACCATCACATTTATATGGATGCAAGAGCTTGTCATTAACGGAAAAATGAAAAGACAAAAGTTAAAGAGTTTCCAAATGTAGAAAGGTATCGTTCTTTTGGAACAGACTAAAAATAAAAGAATGTCATATGAAATGGATTAGAGTGGGTAATTATTATTTCAAACACATTAAGGTAACAACTATGCCGCCTATGGCCTAAGCTTCTACTTCTCTTTTCGGTTCTGTAACTGACTATGCTTTTCTGTTAAAACATGACATTGAACTCCTCAAGTATAATAAACAAAAGCATACTCCTCAGTGAATGGCTGAATGATCAAAAGATAACATCATAATCCAAATCTAAAGAGCTTTCTTTTAGATAACAATGAAGAATTCCTTTTGTTTTGTAAGAAAGTAGTTCCCAAAAATCTCAAGCCAAGCTAAATGTCGTTTGTACTATATTGGTAGAAATATTTTGGATACATACCTCCACATTATAGTCAGGTGGACTATACTCAAAAGCTAGAAAATGTTGCAGGAAAATTGTGGAAGCTGAAAACATAAGAAAGAGGTAGTGATCTACTGGAATTCTTGATGCGTCCTCAATCATGTTAGCATTACCGGGAACTCAACAATGCTAGGAACTCAGCCGGTTCTTCATTTTCTTTCACAACCTAGTTGAACATTGAGAAAAAACACATCATACCACAGGAAAAAAAAACCCGAAATCCCCTAAATAGAAGGAAAAAAAAAACGAAGGAGGAACACAAGAAAAATACACATCTTTTGCAACTTGTGAGTGCTTATGCAACCAACAAATTAGCAAAGCTACTATCTGATAGTAATCTTAAATAAATATAGACGAGGGAATTGTAAGGACATGCAAATTGCGCTTCTGCTTTTCCACGAACATAACATGCAGTTTCAACTCTGAATTCTTGTAACATTACCAAATGCTCTATATCCACTAGATGAAGTACCCCATGCTATTAATTAACCCATCAATCAAAAGCAACGACAAGCTTCGCACTGAATTCAATGCTAAAATATGCCTTCATAAGAAAATTGATCAAGGACAAGCACAAAACACTTTTCTTAGAACGCTGGTATTGGGGCAAGAAGACTACAGGCATCATATGAGAAAATATGAGGGTGTTTGGATTGGCTTTTAAGCTGGTCAAATCAGCTTTTAAGCTCTTTTTAGCTTTTTCCACTATTCGACAAAGTTAAAAAGTGCTTAAAATAAGTTAGAAACTGCTTAAAACAAGCCAAAGTAATAAGCTGGTTGCTTTTTGGCTTAAAATCTATTTCTGTTGAAAGCCACTTTTTTTAAGCCAATCCAAACGGGCTCTATATCTTATGCTAAATTAACTAAAAATTACAGACTGATCAGGAAAAAAACTAAAAGCTAGAGAAGCTCAAAGGTGAAGGATGAAGAGCAATTTCCTGATTCTAGCCACATACTAATATAAAAATGCTTTCATTTTGTTTCTTTTTTTCGGGTTCGGGTTCGGGTTCGGGTTCGTGGGGGGGATGTTACAGCTGAAACACAGAAGAACCCATACATCAAAAAACTACGAGTGGCCGAAACAAAGAAAGAACATACATGAAAACTGTGAGAACAGTAGAGGCTCTAGAACTTAGATCAAGAAACGAAGCAACAACAATAGTACAAGAGTATGAACTAGAGATATACCTTAATGTTAGTGTCAATTGGCAAAACCATATGATGAAGAACATCAGTAGCAGCCTGTTTCCAGTCAATCCCTCCTGGATCATCAAGCCCTTTGCGGTTTACTTGCCGAATCTTGCTAGTCTCACAACTAAAAGACCTTCCTACCCAAACATACACAGTTCTACCTGCATCTTTTCCAAAACCTGAAGTTGGAATAACGAAAATATACGCACCCTTAGAATCCAAATCATCTATGCTACAACTAGCAAGTTTCTCCAAGCCAGGCCAACGATATACAACTGGTTGCACTAGGTAACAAGATGCTGCACCGGTATCCGCAATTCCATTTGAAACAGCCGTGCAGCTCCTTTCATTGCATGGTGTTTCCTCCCACGACTCATGAAAGCCACTAAACAAATCAGTTTCTTTATCAGATGGATTAACAATACTTAAAGTACCTAAAGACCTGTGCAGTTCATCAATTTTACTCCCATTTATCTCTTGTGGGGACTGTAAAATCTCTCCCAAAGTAGATGATTCTTTTGAAAAATCATTTATCGCTTCTGCTATACCAATGCCATGGCCTTGTTCATTGGCAACACTCTTTGGAGGACCAGCTTTCCTCTCAAAATCATCAGTCAGCATTGGCAGCTTGAGACACTTAGACAAGCTACCTCTCCGCTCCGCAATAGAAAGGGGAAACTTTTTAGATAACACAGGAGATGATTGTGAAGAAGCCTGGGAAGTGAAGTTGACATCAATATACTTTGAAGTTTTAGATATGGACTGTGGAGAAATCTTGGAGGGGAGAACAGACACACTGGAGTTAGATGGAGTTGAAGAAGTTAAATCTGCACAAGAGATAACTGAAGGTGATACCACCGGAGAATCAGACAGACATTTTGAATTGATGCTCGAATCAGACGAGATAGAGTCCGGAGAGAGATAAGGAGGTGACGAGGTTGATGACGATGAAGACGAAGATGACGTTGAAGATAAGGATATTGTAGATGGCGAAGAAGATGAACACGAAGACGACGAGGACAACATAGAAGAAGAATGTAGCTGTTTAGCTGCACAATTATCTAATGTTATAAACATAGAATCAGGATAGATTCTAGAGATGCCTGACTTTGATGAAAAGACAAAATCCCTCATATTCCCAGACACAAACTTTCGCCTTAGCAGGCTCCAGGAACTTTCTCTAACGGGAAGGCGGGTTTCATGATCAGTCTCACATGACGCAAAAGGAGGCACAAAGCCGCCTGAAGTAGCTTTCTGGAAAATCTCAAAGTCAACATTGTACATATCCACCTTTCTTTCCCCTGGACAGACCTTACTTGATGAGTCAACAACATCCCCTCCATTCTTTAATTTGTCCGTCAACGGCAGGAAATTGGAGAAAGCATCCCAGAAGTACAAAGGTTCCTCACCTTCTGTAACCGTTATGATCGGGCACTGCACTTTCTCGTAACGAACAATCTGGCAGACAGCCCCTCTGGCATCTCTTTCCATGATTGTTTCACATTTCTTACCGATCCAAACATATATCGCAGAAGGTATATGTATAATAAATGCACCTCTGGAATCTAATGCTGAAGGATAGGGGTCATTTAACATTTTTGGGACGAGATGCAAAGGATCGTATGGAGAATGAGGTGCGACTCTGTACATCCTCAACAATGAACTTGGACTCAAAGGAAAGGCGTGAACTCGTTTTTGGCATTGTAACAACTGGCAGGCAAAACCCATATTTGGATCGGCAATACCCCTTGCTGCCTTTACATACTCAAAGGCGTCGTCGAAACTTTGTCCTTCTCTCCACATACGATAAGCTATAACCAACGAGGTTGACCGAGAGACCCCTTGGCAGCAATGAACAAAAACCTTTCCATGTTGCTCCCTGACATCTTCGAAGTAGTCAAAAACATCATAAAGAATGCTCGTAATATCTTCTGACGGGCTATCCTGCAACCACAATGTCCGGTACACGAAATCAGACTTAAAATACTCAGGGCATACAAACCCCACACAGTTAAGAACATGGGTAATCCCATTTTGCTTTAGTATATCCTTATCTCGTGCAACTGCATCCCCACCAAGATAAATGTGATCTGCCACCTTTGAACACTCTTTATCAAAGAAAGCAATCTTTTCTCTTCTCACAAGCCCGCCATTCGTCTCTGGATTTCTATGTATGTTAGACAAATCCAGCTTAAGCCTCTCACTGTTGCTACTGGAATCCCTCCCACTTGGGGTAGAAGGAAGTGGCCACTCTCCAATATCATCAGATCCTGCTCTCGGCCACTCATCTAGACTTCTACGAGCAATTGCTAATGGCTGCAAAGGTGGAAGACACAACCTAGCCTTGAAACTCTGTTGTGATCTAGGGGTTAAAGGCCTCTTACCCTGCGAATTATTAGGATCCAATCCATCCCTATCAATATCCGGGTTCAGCGGAGGCAGTGAAGTCCTCGAAGACGACCATGATGCTGACCGCCAGTACATTCTACTCCGACCATTTATCAGTTGGCATGGCTCCTGAGAACCACCATCAGCCCCACCAGCCGAGGCATCTTCCTTTCCCGGCATTCCAACAATCAAAAACTAGGGGCAATGTCTAACAGCCACAGTAAAACTTCAAGATACTAAAATCCCTAAAATCTTTTAAACTTCTGACTTTTAAGTTCACATCCAGTAAAACTAACCCAAAAAGGCAAAAACCAAGAAAAGCAGACCCAATTCAGTAAACAGAACCACACTAAACTAAAGCTAAAAACCCCAACTTTCAAACCACAAATTTCACCTGCAAAAAACAGTTAAACAAACAATAAGTCAAACTAAGTCAAAATACTCCACATAACCATTTACTGAATATTAACCAATCAACCAGCTAAACTTCAATCCGACACAAGTTGGGTCAGCTATATTAATCTTTAAGCACCCATTTTGCTTTATTTTAAAAAAGAAAAAATTAAATCTTTTTACAAATCTGAGATTCAGAACAAGAACCTAGCAGCATAACACATAAACAGTAACAAGCCAAGATCTAAAAAACCCAAACTCAAAAAAGACACAATAATTTCAAAAAAAGTTCATATTTTTTTAAGATTCAAAAAAACCCAACTGCTAAAGTGAGTGTCTGAATATATTTTCACAGTCTCTAAGTAAATCCACACAGTAAAAATAAATACACACACAGTTTATGTTATGTACAAAATTAAAAGAAGGGAAAATCTTGGATTTGTAACTTACTCAACAGAAAGTTAAAGTAACCATCGTTTGAGACCCAGAAGAATAATTTGTTTGGGGGGAAGTGAAGAGTATAAACGAGGAGGATGAAAGGTCTGGTACTGTAGCTCAAAAGAAATGATAGAAGAGGAAAAAAGAGGGCGATGTAGCGGCCTTTCTTTTCTTTTCTTTTCTTTTTTCCTTTTATTTTACTTTCAAGTCTTATTAAATACCCTCTTCTAGTACTAGTTTATTTTGTGACACTATTATTATTTAAGTATTTAATTAACTAACGTAAATTATAAATTTATAATATAGTTCTAAATTTACGTAAAATAGATCTGTGTGATCCGGCCCTTCTCTGGACTTCGAGTTTGAACCGTGAAAACAACCTCTTGCAAAATACAGGATAAGGTTATGTATAATCAGTGGCGAAGCCACATGGTCACAAGGGTTCGTCGAAAAATTGCACTGTGTATTTATGTAAAATATTACGTTTTAGATGTATATAACACATATTGAATACCCTTTGTCAGGAATTTTTCTTCACTTCTTTCAAATTTGAATACCCTTGGGAAAATTCCTAACTTCGTCACTTCGTATAATAAATCCTTGCAATCCGGTCTCTTCCCAGACCCCACGCATAACGGAAACTTAATGTATCGAGCAGTCCTTTTTTTATATTTTAAATATGTATGTTTAACTCAAAAAGAACTTGAAAATTTGCATCTGGATTTATATAAAAAATTAAACAAGTTAATGATATATAATACAGAGTATGAAGTATTTGAGAAAATTAATGTTAAAATGTCGGTGTACGTTATATATTAGGATTATGATAATAGCAAATAAATTGTTAAAGTAATAGTTTGATTGAAAAAAATGGTGCATTGAAAATTTAAAATTTAAATAACCCAATAGATTCCGATCTTTCAAATTGTTAAATTCCAAGTATGATTCTCTAAAAGGAAGAAATTATATACTGAGTTTCGACCAAGCCTCATCGATCAATTTTGCTTTGGATTCGTCCTCGACTTTATTATTATAATAGAGGGATGGGATTCGAAAAAAAAGAAAGATAAAAATAGTAAATGAGTTATTCCTTTATACTTTATTGGATATTTTTATATGTTTGACCTTTTCAGAAATAGAAAAATTGATTTACAAATTTCATTAATTACGAGAGTTGAACTGAAATACAAATATTATCAAGATTTTGAAATTTCTAAATATGGACCATCCTATTAATTGAAGTAGAAGACATATTAAAAAAATTTAATTTAGTAGTAGAAGTAAATATTTAATATTTAGAGTCCATACTAGTAGTAGTATAGTAAATGTGGTCTCTCTAGTTAGTACGACTGATAAAATGCCCACAAAGTCATGTGAAAAGTAACTATTACAATAAAGTGGCTTCTGTTGCTATTTTTATTTTCCATTATTTACTTGTGACTTTGTAAAAGACACTATATTGTGTTTTAGGGGCCTTTATGGACACTTACGAGGGGAAAAAAAATAGCTAGATTTATAACTGATGATTGAAAAATAGCCACAGTTTTAAAAGTGATCGAAATTTAATCACTTTTTTATATAAAGATAAAATCTGAACAAAAACACCCTTAAAAATTCGGAAATATTCCAGCATAATACAGTCAAACCTCTCTATAACAGCCTCGTTTGTTCCGATATTTTTTGGCTGCTATAGTGAGGTGTTGTTATAAAGGACATATATTATAACATAACATAAAAGCCGATTCCGAAAAGCCGTGATTTTTGTAGTGAATTGTTGTTATATAAAAATGTTGTTATAGAGAGGTCTGACTGTATGTTGGAGTTCGATTCTTTTACATATGAGCTTCCAGCATAATATGCTGGAATTTCATAATGTGCTGGAGTTCCAACATTAAATGTGGGATTTATATGCAAGAGCTTCATAAACCAACATATTATGTTCGAACTTTCCGTATGCTGGAGTTCCAACATATTATGCTCAAAGGTAAGTTCTATAGAGTAGTGGTTAGACCGTCCATGTTGTATCGAGCTGAGTGTTGGCCAGTCAAGAATTCACATATCCAGAAGATGAAAGTAGCAGAAATGAGGATGTTGAGATGGATGTGTGGGCACACTAAGCTGGATAAGATTAGGAATGAAGATATTCGGGAGAGGGTGGGCGTGGCTCCCGTGGACTACAAGATGCGGGAAGTGCAGCTTAGATGGTTCGGACACGTGCGGAGGACAAGCCTAGATACACCGATTAGGAGGTGTGAGCGGTTTGACTTTGGCAGGTACGAGAAAAGGAAGAGGGCGGCCTAAGAAGTATTGGGGCGAGGTGATCAGGCAGGACATGGCGCAACTTCAGATTTCCGAGGACATGGCTCTTGATAGGAACATGAAGAGGTCGAACATTAGGGTGGTAGGCTAGGAGGTGGTCGAGAGTTCTTCCCTCTTTGTACCGGGTAGTCTGATAGAGTTTTGTTTAGGTTTGTTAGTGGTCTATATTGTATTCACATTGTTATTTTGCATAATTTTGTGTTATTGTCCTTTCATTTATTCGTTGTTGTTATTTTCTTTCTGGCATCTTTTGTTGTTACATGCCTTTTCTTTTGTTTCTTTTCTGATATTATTGTCTCTCTTGTTGAGCCGAGAGTCTCTCAAAAACAGCCGCTCTATCCTTTTCGAGGTAGGGGTAAGGTCCACGTACACTCTACTCTCCTCAGACCTCACTTATGGGATTTTATTGGGTATGTTGTTGTTGTTGTTTATACGTATGAGCTCCATAATCATGCACATTATGCTGGAACTTTCTGTGTTTCAGCAAAAAAGTGACTATTTTTCATTAACTTTACAAATGCTGGCTATTTTTCAATTACCAATCTGAAAACTGGTTACCCCGTACTATTTTTACCATTTACAATGTTAAAATTAAGAAAGCGTCTTTTTAGATCTTTTATGTGTAAAAGCAAATCTTCCGTGTGTTAAAAAAAAAGATAGGATCATAAAACTAAAAACAAGTTTGTAGAGGCTCACAACACTATTTGACCCTAGAATAATATAGTTGTCAACAAAGTCATCCTATAGCTGATGTAGTTACTTTTCTTAATAGCCATAATATTTGAACTTGCTTGTACGCATCTCGACTAATTTCACAACATAAGTTGTGAGCACCTAATTTTTGACAATATTTAATTTTTTGTCACTTCTTCTATGTAAATATTTTAGGGGTTTTAACCTACAATTTTTAGCTTTGTTACACTTTTTAATATACGGTAAAAATACAAAATTTTAAAAGGTGAATTATTACTATTACTATTATTTTTTTTTTTTAAATAATAAAAAAAATCCGAAAAATATTAGTTTTTTTTAATTTTCGGGTGAGATATAAAAAAAAAGAAAAAGGGAAGTATGGAATAAAAAAAAGTAAAAGTGGGTGGAATTCTCTTTTAAAAAGTAAAAGAAAGTGGAAAATTAAAGGTAAAGTTTTGTGAAAATTTTAAAAAAATAAAAAGTAAAGAAAGTGTGAATTAAAAAATAAATATAAAGGTAGCTGAAAATTAAAATAAATTAAAGTAAAAGAAAGTAGAATTTTAATAAGAAAAGCAAAAGAAAGTGGATTGTTTTTTTAAGAAAAGTAAAATAAGTGGAATCCTCTTTTAAAAGTAAAAAAAAAGTGAGATTTTAAATAAGATAAAAGTAATTAAAGTTGGAATTTAAAAAATAAAAGTAAATAAAGGTGGGATTTATTTTTATAAAAAAGAAAAGCAAATTGTAAGTGGGATTTCTTTTAATTAAAAAATAATAAAATATTTTTCAAAAAATAAATAAAAAATCTGAAAAATTTCGAAAATTTTGCTATAAATAGAAGAGAGAATCTGAGAAGAAAAAAAAAGGAGAGAAAAGAGAGGGGAGAATTGAGAGAAACAAATTTTTTTTCTTCTTCTACGCTACGACAATTTCTACTCGTGTTATTCTTTCTTTCGAAAATTTCCAACAATTCAACACCCCAAAACCCAACAAAAAATACTTCAAAACATCCCCTTTTACACGCCAAAGAGTGGTGTTAACAGTCAAGGTCGAGGATTCCGTTGGAGCTCTGTTCACCGGCTTTGATGATCATCTTTGTTTATGCTTGTTCGGCGTTCGTCTGAGTTATTGTACATATTC